GAAAGAATTAGTTCGCACGTTATTTGTATTGAACAGTTCCTATTTTGTTTATGTGCATTTTTCAAATTAAAGCTACATTTTTCCCAGGGCTTGAAAACGAAAAAATAAAAAATTCAATCGGTACACCAAGCAGAATCGATATTTTAACGTTTCTGTTCCTGCGTTCCTCATGTATTATCGTTCCGAAACTGGTTAATACCGGTTAATAATGTTGTTTTTTTTACTTTTTCTTTGCCTATAATAAAGTACAGCGTTTTCTTTACTCAAAAAGGGGGAAAAAAACGGAAAATCTGGTATCTTAACCCGCTGCGCTTAATCATAGCCAATACAGTATCAACTTTTCTAGATTTTGGTCAAATGTGGCCTACTAAACAAAATAATCTTAATGCTTTAAAGAAATTAAAGTATTTTTTCAAGATATTTAAAAATGTTTGCTGCATTGTTAAACAACACTACTTGTATAAAATTGCGTTTTGAGATAAATAAAAAAAAACATGGGCTACGTCGCGTAGGCTATAGGCTCATGTCTGCATTTTATGATTACATTCAGAAATAATGTAGGCTAAAATGCCGGTAAAGCAAAATGTTTACAAACATTATAAACACAGCTAAAGTTGCCTTCTCTCCACAACAAATCCTCTAAAGTTAAGTCGATTTAAAGCATTTAGGCTACATAAATGTCAAGCCAAAAACAAAATTAATTCATAGGCGGAGTTTGACTTTTATGCATGGGGGGGCACCCACTGGCAGACGAGCCAGGAGTACTTTATAATATGTTCTACATTTCATATATTACATTCTACATTCAAATAAATTTAGAATTAACAATGACTGCTGTATAAAGAGTAAAAACACAACTAATGCAGAAAAGCCGCCTCTTTTTCCGAATTGCGTAGATGATAATCTTTCTTTCACTATCACTTCTGATACATTTTCAGTCAAATCGTTCTCTATGTGCAGTAGAGAAAGATCTGAGAATCTGTCCTGTGCCACTGAAGATCGGAGCCAGTTTCTTATTCTCCTCAGAACTGAGAATCCAACGGGCAGCGCAGCGTGAGTGCAGGCTGCAGTAGTCTGAAAAAGTTTGGATATTTGTCCTTCCATACTCTTTAAATTTCACATCACTACGCCACACTCACAAACTCTGCCAAAGAATTAATTTAAGGTGAAACTGATGCCTACCTCTCTCATTCGGCACGAATCCAAATATTTCCATATTCGCGACGTATGTGGATGCTAAAATATTATTTATTATGAAATAGGCTCCGTACTTCACTCGCATCGAACATCATCCTTCGCATATCAGTGAGGCGCTGGTCACACTGAATGCAACAGATTGTACAAGGGAGCAGTGTTAATTATGTTTCTTTAACTGTATTTTTTTTGATAATCAACAGGCTGCAATATCGCAAAAATATGTTGTGTGAGCGTGAGGCGCCGGCGCGATAGCCATACCAACGCTGGTATACAGATAGAAGCAAGACATTCAAAACTGTCAATCTTTTGCAAAATACAGAATTTTCCTGCCATTGTTTTGCTGCAAAATTACATTCACAGCTCAAATGTTTTATTTTGCCATGGCCTTGGCCATTAGCAGTGGCAGCCATAGAAAAGAGATGCAGGAAATACTGCCTAGATTTTTGCACAAACATATTTCTTTCTAAGGGGGAAAAAAAAATCAAATTGTAGAGTATTGTGTTTCCAATGTATGTACTTCAGTAAAACCTATTTAAAATGTGCTTTTGGCACTACCGCTGTGTCGAACAACATGCATAATTCAACACAACAGCAGCATTGAGTGTGGTAATGTCCTCTGCAGGTCTCCGGAGCTGTTTGTCTGGTCAGCGGGACTGTGGACTGTGGCATAATGAAGGCCTGCGCTGCAAACAGCACGCTGTTGGCACAGGCTCGATGCTCGGCCACCACACACACTCTTTCTGCCCAGCGGCACACACCTTTGGATCGACTACATCTCTTCAGAGCGTCAGACTACATGCATTCATAGTATGAGAGTCACGTGTGAGCTAAAGGCACTACAATTAATAATGCTGAAGCTTTTTTTTTTTGATCAGGGTTCTGTTTTTAAGTGCTTTCAGCTGAAATTGATTGGAATGTTCCATCTATCTCAAGGGCAACTGTGATGTTTTCTTAACGTAGACCTTTAACATGATTATTTGTTTGCACTGGTGTAGACTGTACTGTACTGGGGGTATAGGATTTTTTAAGTAGTGGGAATGTCTGTACTGTGGAAACATGCAGTTTTGTTAGAGTGAGCTAGATCATTTTTTAAAATGCTTGAAATTGTACATTTTATGTCCTGTTTGTCACAGGTTTGCTGGTTAGATTCATAAGTACAGCATGTGCTTGTGGAGAGAATTAAGGCCAGATCTTCTCTTCTGCTTAAACTTTAACCGTGTGCATTAGCACTACCAGAGTAATCTGTGGAATCAGCGTAACTCTTCAAATCGCTACAGTCGTCTTGATGGTGTGATTGAGTGTTGCATGTCAGAAGATGTGAATGGTATTTCCAAAGACTCCCTCTATTTTTCCAGCTCTCTCCATATAGATGTGGCGGTAAGCAATGTACCCCTTATATTTTAGTGTACCTCTCTGTGAATTTGTAACGAAAGTGATACTAATAGTTGGGATTAAAGTTGCATTGAGAGAAGAAATTGTACTGTTTCACAGTGATGTAAAATACAGATTAAAATATAAAAAAAAAAGTTGTTTATGAATTTTCATTTTTCTTTTTATTGAGATGTACGACAACAAGATTAATGTACTGTGTGTGCGTGAGATTGTACTCCACTCTTTTAAAGCCTCTGCAGGTTTTGTAGTCTTGTGATAGTTGTGCGTAAGTTACTGGTTTATCCTGAGCAGCTGTTTACTGTTCTTTTCTATTTCTATTCCTTCTTTTTATGATTTTAGGACTTTTTACTGATTCTGTAAGGGGTATGTTAGCACAATGGTATCATAAACTGAACCTTAGGGTTTATTGTCTACCATAGACGAAGCTACTCTTGGAATAAGGGTCGCAGTCATTCATTATATCTTGAGTAAAGTATTTAAACTTTAAAAGCAAAAGGGAAGGAGCATGATATGACCATCCAGTACTTCACAACAACAACAAATATTTTGGTTTGGTTTTTGAGTTGATTTTTGTGTGTGTTTTTCTTTAAAAACTGAACAGTCGTGTAAAACTGTACTTCACAATTGACTGTTAAGACTATTTATAGAAAAAAATGCCTAGCTGAGGAACATAATACATATATTGACTCGTGTTTCGAAGACATCTTTCAGTTTTGAATTGGGTACTTGTCTGATTTCATCCTACTGTAGTCACATGACATCAGGCCTATATAAGTGGGCTATTATTCATGAAAGAAGAATACAGAATACTGTATACAATATGCAGTATAGTGTCTCTGCTTCAATGCTGTACAGTTCACATTTTCCCTAATATTGCTGATCGGTAGAGCTGGTTAAAGGGGTCATATGATGCGATTTCAAGTTTTCCTTTCTCTTTGGAGTGTTACAAGCTCTTGGTGCATAAAGAAGATCTGTAAAGTTGCAAAGACTAAAGTGTCAAATCCAAAGATATATTCTTTATAAAAGTTAAGAGTCAGCCACGCCCCCCTAAAACGCCTCGTTCTAACAAGCCCCCACATATCTACGTCACTATGTGGAAATATTAGCATAATGCCGCCCAAATGTACACGCAAAGAAAGAAGGTGTGGTTTCAGTAACTGCAGTTAGTGTTGAAGCAGCCATGTCAGGGAGACGCTGTGTACTTCAGTGCGAAAGCAAAAGCACTTTATTTGGCCTTCTGGAAGTAGATGCAATTAGGAATCATTGGTTAAGATTTATTTACAACAGAACAGCACAACCCAGATGTTCGAATTTGTGCCTTTTAGATATCATGGGCCCCCAAATACGATCATTGTGTGTAGGACCCCAACCTAAAATTTAAAAGGCATAGTTTCTTGTATAAAGACCCCATTTACACTGTGAAAAAAAAAATACTATTATAAATATGTCTAAAATATTATTTAGAAAGTATTACGATTCAGGTACATTAATATTATGCCCCCGTATTTGAAACATAATGTGTTTTTTGAACATTAAAGCATGTCAACATATTCTGTTACACCAAATACACAAAATAATGATCTTTAAAATAGCATCGTATGACCCCTTTTTAAACAGTAGTAATGTGAATCTTTTCTGTCATTGGGATTGTCCAGCTCTGTGGTCAAAAAGACTACTTCATTTTTAAGCACTCAAAATCATTACAGTACACGATGGGAGAGTATATTTGCATAATAATCATTTCGAATAGGGTTATTCAGTCCAAGTCAAGGAATTTGAATATTAAAACTGATTCCATTGCCTAATAATCTGCGTCTTCACTGCTTTATATATATATATATATATATATATATAT